CGAGGCACACCTTCAAGGCCCTCGACTGTCGCGATAACCATCAGATCCGGCGTCTCGTCCAGGTCCACGGCACGCTGGAGCAAAGCAAAAAAAATAAAAATAAAAAATAAAAACACGACATTAAAGCAAATGATCCTAGAAAACGCCCCCACCAGTCGGGCACCGCCCAACGGCAGAACCAAGGGGGATAGCCCCGCCCGGTCCCTTTACGCCATTCTGATATTCCCGCGTCGCCGTCGCTCGATCTCGATCCCTGAATCTCCCAAATAGAAGTCCGATGTCGTAACCACTAACACAAGGCCCAAGTCTGGGTTCGGCCCTGACGGACGCCTAAATAAACGGCCACCACGCAACGTGCCAAGCCACCTGGACACCTTCAAAAGTCATACTATCGTCGATGCCGTTGTCGGGGTCGTTTCCCCGCACGCGCGCTCGCCTCAGTCAAGCGTACCAATCAACCAAAAATATCCCTGGTTCTTGCTTAATCAAATATAAATAGATATTAATAATACCATTAAACAAATGACTAATGATCAATAGCAGAAAGGAATCACGTGCGCCTTAAACCTGCGCGCCCACACACTCTCTACGCTAGTCAAGCATCTTGTCAACGTAAATTACAGACGCGGCCGCGCCTATCGCGGTATACTTAAACTCTAGATTAAAACTATTTTCTGTCACTTACAAAACCAAGGCGGATACCCTTGTAAGGGTATTCGCACCGACAGCTTACCGGACCATATTAAGCGACGTCCCCGTCGCTTCGCCAAATCAGAAAGCTATAAATCCATCCATATTCCAAATGCTGACGAAACAAGAGCATATCCGATTAGCCGACAAACACAGGGTAGAGGCCTCCATCAAAACATGCCTTCACAACTATATGCTGCCAGGTTTCTAACCTGGGCCTCACACCGTCCAGAAATTAGGACACTGGCAGCATAAGTTCCAAAGACCTTCCCAATCGTCCTCTCCCCGGTCCTAGACAACCTTCGGCTTTTCGTTGGGTGTCCCCAGTCCTGGCAAAAACTAGGGACGCGGGCCTTAATCGAGACCTTTTGAAGGCACTCTCGTCTTCTTCTCAAAATTTTCTCTCAATAAAAAAAAACACGCAAGTATATATGTATACTTAATATTTCGCTCATCTCTTTCTGCAGTCTAGTACAGAAATGCTAGGTCTCCACCTTGGCCCACCATAGCGTGGCTGATCGGACCAGGACCACGACCCACCGCATTGTTATTTAACGGCAGTACCTTCGTTGGTTACGCAACGATAGGTTTTCTTCTGGTAAGCACTCAATCAGGATTTCCTCCTAAAATTTTTAACCATCATTATCCCGCGGTGTAATTTCACTGGGGCGGGCAACCCCCCCTTAAACTCTTACCTCGCGGTCCCGCAGCCAGGTTGCGCTGGCTAGCAGCCATCCAATGGGGTTACGCCCTAGAGGTACTAACGTCTTTTCCGTTAGCTTGGCCTTCCTTTAATATGTACCAGAACTAGCATAGGTGGTTAGGCGGGGCGTCGCAAAACAAAATCACTGGCCCACTGCGTGATCACGCAGGGGTCTGAAGGCAGTTACCATCCCTTCCACAATAGGCCTGGCATCCTTCGCACGCTCACAAACAAAATCACCKCTAGGTCYACCAGGCCGTGACCCCTGACTTGATCAGAGCCARCWGCCACCCACTYTGAGACATCTCTTGCCCTGCACYCATTGCGACTTTCTCAAACATTWSAAACAAAAGTGACTCTTTTCGTCAKACTTTATCACCCATCAAACAACTCACCATGCCACAAATCAATTTRCTCGCCTCTGAGGGTGAGTCTTCCAACAAAAACCACTCCCCTTTTCCAACAATCCAAAAGGGGCTCTCTTTACAAACAAAACACCCCCTCTTCCAAAAAATCGCGAGGGGTCTTGCCAAAAAACAATATATTCCCTCTTCCAGAAATCACGAGGGTCTCATCATAAACCAAACACCCCCTCTCTCAAAGTCACGAGGGTTTTCGTTACATCACAAAACATCATAAAACATCCCCCCTTTTTAAGGAGGTCCCATCATAAAACAGAACATCACTGAGATACCATCTTATGGGTCCTCATCACAATTAAGATAACTTTCACATACAGACTGCGCTTCCTCCTCTTATACTCTGCCTTATCAGGTGCCGTAGGCAGGTCGCACAAGTATACCGAGGAGTAGACAGTTTTACTTACAATCATACTCACAGTACCTATAGCAAAAATAAAATGTTTTTCGTACGTTGTTCACACAAAACTCATCATACATCAGAGTACAACCACACACGTGAGAGTGACAAGCGATCGTCATATATATGAATGGTCCCTGAAATAAAGCCTCATCATAATATATACTCAGGGAATAAAAAGGCCTTACAGAAAAAACCGTTTCTAAATCGTAGCTCACTCAATTCAAGCCACACCAAACCCATACTGACGACAACCCCTAGAATACATGTCAGATCTGTCTCTAAAAAAAAACCTGTGCGCAGGCCAGCTAAATATGTACATGCCTCATCTAAATCACCCTGAACCTCAAGATCCCACTCGGTAGGAACACCAGAGTTCAGGTCTAGACTTATAGCAATCAACACAAAGGTCCTCTAAGTCTAAGAGGGTATTACACAAAACCTAAGTTGATGCCTCACAAGATACTCGCCCACTTACATAGGCAAACCGGCGCTATCTCCTCAACTCCTCCTGGTTTTGCCTATATAACTGAGCCCTAAGTCCATCTGCGGACTTCTCTACTATCTTACCCTGTCTATCATACATTTTACCTCCTACCTC